CATTTGTAGATATGGGAAGTTGTGCACAACAGCCTTGCCCAATTCTATAAGAACACTTGCATGTCTAGAAAAGTTCTACGTAGAAATGAAAAATGTTAAGGTAATTTTTTATTTGTCATTCTACTGCTTTATAAATTTGTACAATGCAATATTTACGCGATTACAGGCTACCCTCAATTCCATATGCAATAAGGCAAATAACGTCGCTTTATCCCATGCTCGAGCACATAGAAGAAAGCGAAAGGGAGATGACCGCGAAAAACCTGTCAATACTGAGGTTGGGGGCTGTTTTGGCAAAATCACTGGAACACCTCCCTCAAAAAAGTCACGAAAACTGGATGATTTCCAAATTTGATTTACTTTTTATGTGTATTTACTGTACATGAAGTAGTTAGCTTAATTGAGTTTATCGAATTTACACGGATTATCTGATACCCTTTAGACCACATTATTTTTATATTATTTGGACACATGGCTTTCTTTGTTGATCGAAAAAAGAAGCGCAAATTTTATTCTATTCTGTAATAAAACTTATTACACATACATGATTTCGAATTTTTTGGTAACAGACTACTGCTAGCTTCGCTATTATACATAGTTTGTAAATTTTCAAGTGGTTCTATAGTTTGAATTTGTTTTTAGCTTTTTATTTAATCCTTTTTCATATACCTCTAATGTATGGTGCTCAATTTAGTCACTTAAAGCTATTTTACTTATTATTATTATTATTATTATTATTGCTAGCACAGCCTTGTTTTATTTGAATATAGCAGATATTCATATATAATGTAGATAACTACTGTTTTCCAAGTAAAACATTAATAAGGAAAAATCAATCTCGTGGCTTTGCTATTTTTTTTTTTTTGGAACAAAGAAACTAGTAAAGGGTCTACTAGTGCAAGAAAAATTAAGAAAGAATATATAATATTTGTGTTCATATCAATGTGTTCCTCAGATTTAGATCTAATTGATTGTAATATATATTCTGCTACTATAATTCTATTATTCAAGCTAAATATAGCTACAAACAAAAACTATACAAGATTAAATAGAAGAAAAGACTTTGTATTTAACAAAGAAGGCACTGGTAGAAAAGAGGAGTTAGTCATGATATAAAGTGATTTGAAAGCCATGCTACTACTATTACTTTTGTACTATTGGCTGGTTACTCTTCGAGAATTTATCTAATGCTTCTAAAAGATAAGCATAATACTTATTAGGCATTTTTCTCTTTCTATATACTCTTGAGTTTTGTTATAGATATAGTTTCAATTAATAGATTTATATAGTATGTTATTGGGATTCTTTCTTAATCAAAGGTACTAATGTAGAAGAAACTATATTCTGCATCTATTCATACTACAATTCTAATATTTAAGGTGAATCTCAAATTCTTATGGAGCTGAAAAAATGCATTCAGACACATAGATAACCAATAGAAGCTTGCTTATATTCTTTTATGAACGTGTTTTCTGCTAGTCTATCACTGTTTAATAAACTTTGTGTTATTCAAAATTTAGTGTCAAACTGAAATAAATAAAATTTATCAGAAAAAATTAAGAAAAAGTACTCTTAAAGCAAATATAACAAGAGAGTAAGTAGTTGCCTTCAAAATAAGTCTTTCATTACTAGAAAAATCTATATTATTTCTCTAATATATGAGTAAATAGTAGCACTTCAGTTTCTTTTTCTTTCAAAACTTTCTTGCAATTGATAAAAAAGATGTATTTATGACTTTGATTATTAAAAGTCGGATTTTTGTTTAAGAAAATGTTTACAAGAGAAAAAAAAAAAAAAAAGATAACTTTTAAAGTATTATTTCAAATTGGGTTAAGGAAAATAATAAGACTTTATTAATCAAGAAATATAAAAATTTCTTGTGAACATCTTTTTTGTATATGGACAGAGGATCAGTGAAAAGAGTTTTAATAGTTGCCTTAAAGATATTTTATAATTTTATTATTAATTAAATATATAATAAAAAAATTTTTTATGTAAAAACTTAATTTTTTATATAAAATATAAAAATTAAATAAAAAAAATTTTTTTAAAAAAAAATAAAACTCAAATAATTAAACTTGAAATATAGCTTAAGTTTTATACTTGTTAATACTTTAATTAAGTATTATTTCAAATAATTATAAAATCAAAGTTTAAGTTTTCATACTTAAATAATTGTTAAAGTTTAAGTTCTTATATTCAGATAATTATCAGAGATAATATAAGTATCATGAAATGAAACAAGCTTCTTTGAGATTTAAAAATATATATTTTAAGGTTATAATATAATTGCATTATAATATTAATATCAGGTGATATAAATATATGTCAAATTTTTATTAATTTCAGATATTCCCTTCAATTATTAATTAAATATATAATTAATTAATTAATTAATTAGTGATTTATTAATAATAAATTAGTAATTGATTGGTGATTGGTAATTAACACTAATTAAAATTAGGTTATTCTATAGTTAAATTATTGTTAAATTTGATTAAATTTAATAATAAAAATATTATTAAATTCTTTTTTATTATTGTTATTCAATATATTACTATTTCAATAATAAAATGACAATAAAAAATTTGATAATCAAAAAATTTGTCAATTAAAAATTTATCAATTAAAAGTTTAATAATAAATTGTCAAAAAATTTATTAATAATTTATCAAATAATTTATTAACTATTTAAAAAAAATTCATAACATCACTCTTTCCCGATCACTTGAGGCTCAACAACTTCGATAACAGAGAAATGGCCTCCAACACCAGAAATGCTAAAGTTTCATAGCTTGAACAACAGAGAATAGAGAGAAACCAACGTGTAGAAAGAAGGAGTAAGGATATCACTTCCCTCCGCAATCAACTATATGCCAAGAAGACCAACACCACTCAAACAAAAACACTAGCAATATTGACAACGAAACCAGCCCAAGAAAGTGAGGAAAAAAACACTCAAGAAAACTCAGCAGCTGTAACGTCAGATATAGCTAACATGGATATAGAAGCAGAACCACTTAGCAAAGGACAGACATGAAGTGAGCAGATAGAAGAAGCAGTAAACAAAACAGGTGACCCAGCAGCAAACCACCAATCTCTGACAGGAAGCGGCTCAGACGAAAAAGAGTCACAGGGGTAAAAGCATAACCCAGCAACAGACGCCAACAACAAACACTCAAATGGACAAGCCTTCAGAGAAGAGAAAGAAGAACATTGAATACCATAGTTCGCAAGAACATCGCAGCACGTCCCAACAACAGGCCAAGACCAAGGACACCAGTCAATCCGGAAGTCAGATACGGAAGAAAACACTTTAAAGTAGTTGATACAAATGTTATCCCAGGGTCGAACAACGATGCAAAAATCCTCTACTTAACCAAAGCCCTCAATTCTCCGCCAGGACTCATCACAATCTGCAGTGAACACAGTAAAGAGGAAATGCAAATCGTCGCAATATTTGGTGATCAACAAGTGGCAGATAATGCAACGAAAATGGAATTACCTAATTTAGGTGACAACAAACTCACACATATGCAAATCAGCAAACAATCAATTGAGAAAGGTAAATCTATAGTGGTTTGGAACATACCCCTAAACACGAAACTTTTGGAAGTAAGACAGCATTTCACCAAATTTAGTAACATATCAGGAATCAGTATGAAAACCCAAAATTTGTGGCAGTGTGCCACGATTACTTTTGAAGAAGAATCGGTCAAGGAAGCACTGGTCAAACAACGTAGTACCCTTATCAAGGAGGACATAGTCAGAATAAACGATGCCTACTGGTCCATCAACCAAATGAGAGAAAGACACAGTATAGTGGCCAAATTGGTCAACCTATCACCGGGTACCATGGTGTGGGACCTCAAACAAGTCCTAGGAGAGATGAATGCACGTACATGCTACATATCACGTACTTGCTCAGCCAGATACCGACCAAAAAAGTTTGCAGTGGTAAGTTTCGAAACAAAAGAAGACTTACTTGCTACAAAAGACTCAACCTACACCCTCGGTGAGACAGAGATATTCTTGGTGCCTATCAACACACCATTGTGTTCAATCTGTGATGCAACAACTCATCTTGTCAAAGGATGCCCAATTAAGGAACGAAGACGACAGTGGCGAGATTTAAACCACACCCAGATGGAAAAATATGGACAAATCTATAGCAAGTTCAAGCCAGCAAAGAAGAATGGTCTCCGAATACCCTCTGCCCCACACAACAAGGGAGGTACCAAACCAGCTTCATATGCAGCGACAGCATGAGCCAATAGCAATCGACAGGATCAGATAATGCAGGAACACACTTGACAAAACCGACAGAAGCAATCCCAGAGTCAGCAAAAAGATGCACAACATCTACAAGGCATCAGAGAAATCGCGGAACTGCTAAGAACAATTCAAAAAGAAGTCGCAGGCCTTAAAGAAATAGTAACGGACCTCGACGAAAGGGTCACAAACCTGGAAGCATACAATCAGGAGTATTATAATAAAATGGATCATGTTATGGATAGCAATGATAAGAAGGAGGAGGAATCAACAAAAAGAAACCTGAGTAACCTCGAAACCTCGCACCTAACTCAAGACACAACAGACATTTATGAAAGACAGCAGCAAATCAACAAAACTATGGAGGATATGCAGACCAACATGCAAAGAGCACTAGAAGCCATAGAAGCTTTGACAGACGCACAACCCCAACACTAGTATTAAGTATAATGGGTGAGGCATCAAAAAGTAAAACACCAACGAAAATAAATAAGGAAGGAATACAAATCCTCAGAGAATCAACCAGTCAAGTAGAAATAGGAATAACATTAAGAATCACAACATCCAACGTGAAAGGTCTCAATAAAGAAGCAAATAGGATAGCTTGAACAGAATTATGGCAAAAGAAAAATTGGGACATCGTGATAAGCACAGAAACAAATGGTAGTGATCACGTAACTAAGTACTGGAAGACCGATGAGTATGAATGTCACTGGACTAACATAAATTAAAAACAAAGAGCAGGGGTAGGAGTTGCCCTCAAACATCAATTGGCAAGAAGAATTGTCAAGAAGGAAATCATTGCGGGAAGAGCTCTGATGCTGGACATGGCCTTCCCCCACAAGAAATATTTGAGAATAATAGGCATATATTTCCCAGCGAAGGCCACAAAGAGATCGGGTTTCGAGAAGCTGATACCAAGATGGATCAGAAGCAGCCACAAGCCCAATTGGGAAATCGTAATCGCAGGAGACCTAAATGAAACAAACATGCCCTGCATAGATAGATTCTCGAACAAACATTGCCGTTTTGAGAACAAGACATCATCAAATAACATTTTAATCAAGGACATGAAAGACCATA